TTCTACATGACACTGTAGCTTTCATGCGATCAGGCATCTGTCTAAGAAAGCCTATTGTCAGCTTTTAACAAATGTCATAAAATATTCAATCGTGAAGAGTTAATCTTTATAAATAAATTTCTTATTTATAATCATTTATTTAAAAACTAATTAAATGGAACACAGGCTTCTATGAAGCAGCTCCCAGCATTGCCATTTTTTTCTGTACCCTTGGGATATAATAATAATAATAATAATAGTAAAGTTGGAAGGGACCTTGAAGGTCATCTAGTCCAACCCCCTGCTCAGGCAGGAAACCCTATACCATTTCGGACAAATGGCTGTCCAGTCTCTTCTTAAAAACTTCCAGTGTTGGAGCATTCACCGCTTCTGGAGGCAGGTTGTTCCACTGGGATGGTTGAGAGCACCTGGGAGTGTCAAGTAGTAAAAGGGTGTTGGCTGGCTAAGCCCACCATGGCAGATGTTGTGTGAAGGCAGATCTCCCATAGGAATCCTTTTTTGGATTGCATTGCTCACAAATCCTCTGAACTGTAACTATGTCCATGGTCCAAAAATACTGCATACCCTGGTCTAAGTGTTCTTAGTTCCTTAACACATTCTTCCAACAGATCCTTGATCTTTTTCTCTTCTTGGTTGTGCTGTTGTTCTACTGTTAACCTATCTGCCACTTCCATCAAGTGCACTAAGCAGTTTTAATGTGCTTGTCATTTTAAGTTTGACAATAAAATAAACTTAGATGCAGGTTACATAAACAGTAAGAATACAATAAAAAACCCTCCTGGATCTGATCAAAGGTCCAGCATCCTGTTTTTCAAAATAGTTGGAAAGACTACAAGATATTTTTTCTCTTCGACCACTGCCCTTCTGTACAAAGTATTTAGCAACATATGTCCTATAAATTTATAACATTCCTAAAGCCTTACATTAACATGCTTTTACTTCATTAGTATATTTAACTCCCTTTTAAATCCATTGAAGTTACTTGACAACAAATCCCATAAGTGAATTATGTGTTATTCAAAAAAAAAACCACGCTATTTTCTGTGTCTTGGAAAATTTTGTCAGTTTCATTGGGTAAATCACTGGCTGGCTTCCTAATTTAATGTATTTATAGACATTTTGTGTTTTGTGTTTATATTTTTAGAAATGTATTGCTCAGTTTTATTAGTTTTTGTTGTATGTTATATTATTGCTTTACCTTAGTATTGCCAGAATTTCTTCTCTTGAGAATAAGAGCTCCACATTTGAAATGAATCTTCGCTTTTTATAGCTTTTCTCATTCTGCTAATTAGCCATGCTGGCGACTTAATCATATATTTTCCAACTTAGAATGTATTTTCTAGCTGAGTTTATTAGTATGGTCTTGGTTTCCTTCAAATGCCTTGAAAAAAATGAGCCTTTTGACCCTTTCCCTTTAACCAGTTGCCTTGGAAATTTAATTTGAAATTAAATGTGTCTGCAGTTGAGATTTTTTCCTCTTAATATGCATCCAATAGTCTAACATTGCTTGCATTCCAGGTCAGGTGTAGGGTACCACCTCAATTGTCATCTGTCACCTTCCCCTTTTTAGTTCCCATGACTACCTCTTCTGTTGCACAGCCTTTCATTATATGTTTGTGTTACAACTCAAACATTCACCTACCCAGCCCTCATAAGGTTAATTGATGTTCTATTCATATACATGATGTTTTTTTATCTGATGTAGTTCAGCTTGCAAAAGACACCCCAAGAAAATATTGGTATATTATTGTTATTCAAATATTTTAGCACTTCAGTTCACTATTTCAACAGATCAGCATTTGTAATTAAGATGTCCATGTAGACAATCTGGAAAGGCAACTCTCTATTTAACAATATCCACTCCCAATGCAGATTTCAGAAGAGATAGTAAGGACACACAAAGCTTTAGCATCTGGACTGCAGCTGGAACAAGCCCCCCCCCCTCCCTCCCAGTCTCCCAGTCATTGTCTTTCTGATGATGAGAAGATGTATTGTATTTTTCAGAGACATCTGCAAAATCAGTTGTTTTCATGAAAAAGACTAAAATAATGCTGTGCATCTATAACACAAGCCCCACCACCTTTGGTCCTGGCTCATGTATAAAATGATTAGAACTTGTCAGCCTTCCTTTAACACCACTCCTGCCTCTGATATTTTTATTTAAATTTTAGAAAATAAAATGTACCCAATTTTTAAATGTGCATCTAAGCCACCACATGAAAATATCTCACACTTAGGTATGGAGGGGGGGGTTGCCTTTTTTCCTTATGACAGGTTGCCTGAGGTAAGCCTTTTGTTTCTGTTGAAGAAAAATGTAATTCCTGCCTAATAAAATGTAAGGATAGAGAGAAAGTGGTTTGAGCAATGGTACTGAGACTGCAGAAAACCTTTCTTAAATGTAGTTGCCCTTATTAACACCTGAAACATTCCTTTTGTGAAACCAAAGTTAATTAACGGAAACACAAGATACACACAAGATACACAGTTTTCGTTGCTATAAGTCTAATAATATTTCTCACTGGAGGATTGGATGTGGGGGTTTTTTTCTTGCCATTTGCTGCTCGCAATTAGTTATTTCTGAGCTGAAACAAAACAAAACAAGTCTGCCCAGATAATACACTTATTATTCATCCCTTCATACCCATGGATCCGGTTCTAGATTATTGTAATCTAATTCTTTTAGCCATGTATTGTTTTTTATGAGGTTCTCCTTCTTCAGAAAAGGCCCAGAAAGTTGGTTTAGTTAAAATCCATTTAATATGAATAAAAAATGAGCAAATTGTTTATTTATTTATTTGGCTTTACATAGCTAAAAGAAAAAGATAATGCCTCTTAACATTTCTTAAAGAAACTTCCATAGGCTACAAAATTAGTCCCAAACAATCTTTATGGGCATTATAAAACTGCTGAATTGTTTATCATTTATTATGGCCGAATTAATTTGTTCTAGAATTTATTTACCTAATAACTAAATTATAAATCCAAAAAAAAATTATAGGTCAGCTATCTGATGTTGTAATTACCTATATTCAAAAATGTTCACTGTGCAGATTTGGACTAGAGGAAATGGGCAAGTAAACAGTCTGGTGAAGGGAGTTAGCTCAAGTTATCTTTGTTACATTAAAACTAGAACTAGTGGTTGTATTAAGTTTTAGCAGTGTCTTAGAGAATTTATTTTGCTTACTGTACATACTATGGGGTAGAATTCAGGAATCTTTGAGTCTTTGATAATGTGATCTATTTATGGCAGTATATGTGCTTTGCATGCAAAAAAAATCCTATTTTCATTCCCTTGCATCTTCAGATAGTGATGAAAACCTTGAGTCAACACTGACAAAACTGGGTTAGATGAATCAGAATAAGGCAGAATAAATTGAAAACACTGAATATACTGTGATTATTCTTCTGTGTGGGAAAGACTTTTTTCCAGTGGATTTACTAATAGCTTTATTTACTTTGAGTTAAATGAAAAATTGATAAAATGGATTTTGAAAAACCAAGCAGAAACAGATGAAGGATGCAGCATTCATCACTAAAATGTATTTGTCATGGTATAAAGCAGATGGAGCACTTAGTCTTTCCTGAAAAGCTGGAAGATACTCTTCAAACCTATCTCCTCTTGTCTTTAAGATACCGAAAATAATTGCAAACAACAATATATTTCAATATATTCACTGTCTTGTCAGAATTTATATACAAAGCATAATAGTATAGTAAAGTATTTCTTCATTGAAACTAATTATCTTTCATGTTTGAAAATGTTGCCAATCCAATTTGCAAAATAGTTTCCTGTAAACCAAGATTCAAGAAAAGTTTAATTATGAATTTGGAGCCATTCAGTATTTCTATCCAACAATTAATTATTCCTGAATAAAGAAGGGATATTACAGTCAAAGAATTGGGGACGGGCAAGGAATTACTGGAAGCCTTTAAATGTACTGGTTCCCAATATGCTTTGAGATATAATTAAAGATAATGGTTATTGTGATGTTTGCAGGACTGCCTAATTATTTCTGCCGATTCTACATGGTCTCACAGGTTGGGCACATTCCAGGGCCAGTAATGTTATCCAATGGGACCTGGGAGACAATCCTTTTCTGATGCAGTGCCTGCTCTTTCAAACAATTTCCCCCCTGATACTTGGATAGCCCTGACCCCATTAGCCTTCAGAAAAGCTATATAAAATTGACTTTCCCCAGGGTATTGGGCCAGGATAATAAATGAGCCCAACTTCTGAGAAACTGAATGTATGATTGGTAATCCCCACCTCTATGTAGTGGTTATGTTGGCTTATGTGTTGTATGTTGTGTTATAGTTTTTATTTGCAATATTCTTTGGGGAGTTTTATTTCATGTATGCTGCCCAGAGTCATGATTGTGTGAGTTGGGCAGCTATATATATCTTCTAGGTAAATAAGTAAATGAAAGGTCACAAAGAGTACAAGCCTTTAAATAAAAATGCATAGAAAGTCCTACTACATTTTGCTTTGATGAATCTTTCTAAAACAGGCTTTTCACACTTACTGTAGCAACTACCAAATATAAAAAAATATATTTCTCCAGACATTGATGAACCACACCAGTAGATCCCATTAGGACTTATCAATGCATTTATATTTAAGGAAAAATAATAATTATAATTAAAATGTATTTCAATGGCTCTTTTTGTCCCCCATTATAAGAAGTCATGGACAGTCCTCATTTTTAAAAATGTTATTAAAGGGTTTAAGAAAACACCGATGTAAAGCATACGCTCATCTTTTTTCAGTGATCAGATCAAATTCTGGGTGTATGCTACCACTGTATCTGTTTCAAACCAATAAACTGAATCCATATTTTCATGAATCCCTGCTGATTGAAATGCAAGAGGGAACTATTTAATTTGCTGTGAGTGTGATTTCAATGGAAATCAGAATTTCATATTCTATATCTACAGTTGCATTTCTATGAATAAACTGAGTGTCATCATTTTGCTTTTCTTTCCTATCAGATTCTGCTGTTGACTGGCTCTACGGAATAAAATGAACAAGATGAAAACATTCAAGCGCCGTTTTTCCCTTTCAGTTCCTAGGACAGAGACTATTGAGGAATCCCTGGTAGAATTTACAGAGCAATTCAATCAGCTCAACAACAGGAAAAATGAAGGTAAGAAGTTGAGGAGGGGAGGACAACAGCATTAAAATGTTAAGTGGGTAAACTAGGGTGTCCAAAACCATTTCAAAAACTAAACAGCTGAAGTCCTCAGATTACAGGGATCCACACCTCATGGGAGCAAGGCCTTGTTGTTAACCATCACAATCTATCAAGTGCAAGGTGTTTCAAATTCAAAACATCTTGAGCTTGAAATAGCCATTTTGACTGTACAGAAAATGTTCTTTCAGTGCTGGAAAGAAAGCAGGCTGTTCTCAGGTAAGTTCAGGTTGAATGTGGTCTCAGCACAACAACAAGAATCTGTGTCTGAGAGTTTTATTTTGAGTTGGAACCAAACATTTAGGCTGTTTCAACAACCGATTATTTCAGATAGGACTGTTTGTTCCAGTTTGGAAACACTGCACATTTCCTGTTTTGTGCACACCTCCTATTCTGAGGTAGTGAACCAGGACACCATGGCTTGCTTGCTTATTTATTTGAAAACACATTTCTGTGTCATCTTGTGGGTCTACAAGACAGTTCACAAAATGAAATACCATTAATTTAAAAAGTAACAAAGCAGACCAGGGTTTTGTTTTGTTTTTAAAAAGGGGGGGGAGGGAATTATGGAATAATCTCTCCAAGTAGTTTCCTTTCATATCAGAAGATTCATTGAACCTCTGGTGGATGTGCCTGGGAAGCACCCCAAATGTAAGAAAAAGTTCAAGGTGTAGCTGAGATTCTACAATAGTTCTCTCCCATTTTGTTTATATAAATTTATTTATATAAATTAATGAGTTATATTTGAATGTGAGAGTAGAAGAAACACATTGGTCAAAGCTATTCAGTGTCTACTTAGTATTGGAATATTGGAAAAACCAAACTGCAGTGAAGATCTAATATGTCATGTTTTGTGATTTATACATAATACATCTGACTATTGAGAGGACAATCTTGTACCTTTTTCAAGTTTTGTGTTAAATATTTATTAACTGAATATATATGCTTGGTTATATTTAGACATTTCAGGTTTTTACCTTTAAATTCATTCTTCCATTGAAATCTAATCTTCTCATTAAGTGTTGATTTGGTGGTTGGGTGGTTGGTTGATTGGTTGATTATGTGCCATCAATTCGGTGTCAACTGTTAGTTGTCCACCTACCTAGATTTTCTCCAGGAGGATCTATCCCTGACATTACTCCTTCAGATATTTCAGTCGTGTATCCCCTTCCACTATAATTGAGGCAATTCACTTTGCTGTTCATTGTCCTTCTCTTTCCTTCCATATTTTCCAGCATGATAGTCTTCTCCAGAAAATTAGGCTTTCGTATATCTCCAATGTAGGATAAGTTTAGCCTGGTCATTTGTGTGTTAAGTAAGAGCTCTGGGTTTATGATTCGATAATTCATTTATTTGTTTGTTTAACTGTATTCTTCTGGTATCCATAGGAGAAAATTGCCTTAGATGTTACCTCTCCGTTATTCACTTTTGTGCCAGCAATACTTATTAATAAACCAAAAAGAAGGAATTTTGTACAAATAATTATTAATAAGCTTCTATAATAATGCAGTGTTACAGAATAATTCTTTCAGACTCTATACAAAAAATGTAATACAAAATTGTTTCTCTGCCAGCCAGTAATTGCATGATATGTTGCTTTTAATTTTATATTATTTTTATTCTAGTTTTGATATTTTGTAAGTTTGCCTTGGATTGTTTTGAAGAATAGGATATATATGTATTTAAAACAGTTAAACAGTTACATGTACCTATTATTTTATTTTGTATATGACCTGATTGCTGTAACAAAATAAGGATCAGATACCTTTCTTCAATTAATCACTTTTACTTAAAACTAGACTTTAACCAATGTTAGCAATCTGAAAAATCATATCAGATTTAAACCTTGCTTTGGTTCTCTTTATTCTACTCTTTCAGATAATCTCATTTGACTAAGATAATGTGCACAGGAAATGCCTAGAACATACAAAAGGAAAATCAAACAATTTTCTGACTGGGCACAAGGAGTTCTAGACAGTGTCACCTTGGATTTGGCAAAGGCTGCTGGTATAAAGCTGGTGATGTGTTTTTCAGAATTGCCAACCATTTATGAAAATGATGCCTTCAACTCTTCCTTTGAATAGACCTTCTGCTGTCTTAAGCCCATATGGAAAAACTACTTGTCATCTGGCTCCTTGTGATTCACATTCAGTTAGAGAACTTTGTGATCCATAAAACAAAGCTTCAAGACTGTTAACAGCAGTACATATGTAGATATCATTCTCTTCTCTATAACATCTCAGAATCAACTTGGACAAATTGTGAAGATTGCTTAGGCCTCTCTTTTTTGTTTTTGTTCCCCTTCTCTGTTCTCTACAGATGAGCCATAAAGGAAGATATTGCTGTCAGTTCAAATTTTCTCATTGATAAAGTTATTGGAGTACAAGCAGTAATGGGTAGAAAATTGAATAGGCCATATTTAAAGGATATTTTTGTGGAGCTTGATCTTTAGAATTGAGCAGAAATGTTAATGCTTAACCAAGTAATTAAGACTTCTGTTTCAAGCAAAGCAAGAAGATTCTGGCCTAGTTCCCCAGGAGATCAAAGCTTGTTTTTGCAGAGGCAGTATTTAAATATATTGATAAAAAAGGGAGGCTCATCAAAGGCAGAAGAATGTGTGTGATTTCTCTTTTAATTTACTTTGATACCTTATGTGCCCTCATTATACTGTATGCTGAGTCATAGAGCCTTCTGTGATTCACATTAAAAGTGAAACAGAATTGAACAGGTCTCTGCAATGTTCTCCCAGCGGCTGCCTTCAAGTCCAGCTAATCCTTTGGCCAAAAAGATTAGGATGCAAACACCTCCCACGTTTCCTACATCATCTATGCCAGTGTTTCTCAACCTTGACAATTTTAAGGCATGTGGACTTCAACTCCCAGAATTCCACAGCCAACATTGCTGGCTGTGGAATTCTGGGAGTTGAAGTCCACATGCCTTAAAATTGTCACGGTTGAGAAACACTGATCTATGCCTTTTAGCACAGGATAATATTGTTTCTCTTATACTCTCCTCTCTCCTTTCTTGTCTATTCAGATAGTCCTCCCTTGTCAATGGCCACATTCACCAACTATTTAAAGTGGAGCTAAAAAAAGTAGGTTTACGACTCATCCTCAAGCTTGAGACTGTCGCAATGTCCCTGCAGTCACATGATTGTCATTTGAGTGCTTTGCAACTGGCATGCATTTATGACATTCACTGAGTCCCACGGTCACATGATTGCCTTTTGCAAGCTTCACTGGCAGGTTCTGGACAATGGAGAAGCTGGTGGTGAAACTATAAGTTGCAGTCATGTGATGTCTCACTTTCCCCCCCCTCTCTCTTTTTTAAATAATTTTATTGAAGTTTTCAGATGCAAAGATAAAATATTAATACAAACTAAGAAAAATATTAAAAGTAAAGAAAAAGAGAAGTGCAAGAAGATAGAAAAAATTGCAGTCATTAAAGGAGGACTACCTGCCCTGCTTCATCAGACAGCTAGAGTGTACAAGTCAACATGCTACTTACTGTTTTATTTTCATATTGTTTTCTCTCACTAATCATCTCTTAATTTGATTTTTTTTATTTGGACATCTACATTCTGATGTTTAATGAGAAATCTTCCAAATCAATTGCCTTATAGCTTTTGACCATATATGTGAATTTAGATTTTGTTCTGTATCTGCTACAATACATTCCTGAGATAAATATACTATATTCAGGAAACCTAGATCAACAGGATTTTTTTCCTTTGTTTTTGCAGACTAGTAGAAACTTTGTGCCACACATCTGAGGCTGGTATGAAATCTTTTCACTGCTTTGCCTGCCTCCCAATATATCCATGGAATCTAGAAACTTATCGGTTTAGATTATGGCTGAAATGGCCTCCCCAAATTTGTCATTTTAAATGCAGATTATTATTTTCTGTACATTGTTCTTACATTGAACATTTTGAGAATGGTTTTGGTTCTTCAAATGGATGGAGGTAAACCAACATTTGAGAACTCTAAGCTACTTTTAAGTTGGTTTGCAGATTTTTAGGCCTGAGAGATGAGTTAATCAAGGCAGGCTATTGTTTTAAGCTGTGCAATAGATCCAGATTTATCAGAATTTGGACAACTCTCCAAGTAAATTGAAAATCATGCTTGCCATGGGAGGTAACTCCCAGCTGGTGGAATTGTAAACTGCAAGCCAAGCCTAGGAGGGGGGTATGTTTTAGACAAATTAAATATTGTATTTTTGTTTGCTCATAAGTCCACATGCTGATATTTGGCCTTTTCATACTATGCCTTACATCTCTGTGATAAATAAAGCAGGCAGAGTCAGAGGCAGCTGTAGGAATTGGGGGGAGGGGGAGATAGAGAGATAGAAACTTTGTTTGGAGCTGTGATCAAATGTGTTTATTTGATCCAGCAGTTCTTCTCTCCTCTCATTTAATCTGTTGACTTTATGACGCACCTCCTGAACTAATATTTTATTGTCAGTACGTAGACAGCATTTTCTGCTGCCCATCCTAGGTAGCTTCTAGGCAAGATAAGTGGCAAACAAGGCTAATAAATAAATAATTTTTATAAGTTGATATCTTTCAAAGAAATCAATGTAACTGGAGTCTTCTTTTCATGCTGGCTGGGGAATTCTGGGAGTTGAAGTTCACAAATTTTACAGTTGCCAAATTTGGAGAGTCCTGGTTTAAAATATAAGGAAATAAATTCAGGCTAGAAACCATGAAGAATATATTTAGTTCTGCAGAAGCTGGATAATCATCTCTCAGCTTTAGTAGTTTCTGTATCCGAACTGTGTTTAGCTTTTGTATGCCTGCATCTATCTTTTCTGTCCCCTGTAAAAGAATCTGATATTACCTTGTAGAAGGGCTGGGAATAAGCAAGTGGTACAGCTATGTTAGGAGAGGTATAATTATGAAATGTTCTTTTATTTGCACGCTTTTCATAGAAATGTGTCTGCAAATTCTGTGAATATTATATAATGGAGCCCTTCAGTAAAAAGGTGAAGTGTTTTGCCGAACAACCCTCTAAGGTCTACCTTCTCTTAACAATAGCCATCAAATTGTGAACCATGGAGAAGGAGTTACACATGGAAGGTTGCTTTCCTTCAGATCTCATTTTCCATTTGTGGCTCAACAACACTTCAGAACTTTCTCAAGAGATCACTTATATTTCTTGGCGATGGTCATTTTTTCTCAATAGCATAACCAGTTACCAAGTGAAGAGGTAGATAGAGGACCAGTAATTACACTTGAAAAACTATTTGGGGAAAAATATCTTTGAACCACTCACAAATATAAGGAAATAGTCATTCAAGTCTCTGTGACTCTTAGAGCAGCAGCAGAAGTCTGAAAAAGGGACTGTTTTAATGACAAGCAGAGAAGTCATTGAAACATGCACTGCTAATATTTAATTTAATCCCCTACACTCCGACTATTTACAATGATCCTATTTGGCTCTGTTTCTGAGCTAGAATTGAGTTTGGATATGGGATGGCTGTCTCAGAAGCTTGGAAATGCTACATTAATTTACAGGTGTCTGTTTTGATCTTCTCCTTGAGAAAAGGTCAGGATTCAGTGTGGAATGATCTATGTTTTCCCTCTACATTATGGATCCTAGTTAGACAATTTTATTGTGTTTCGCATGGGATCTCTGATATGTGATTGTCCAACACCCTCTAATTACTGGGATAGGGGATATTAATGTACTTTTTCCTTGCCCATAACAGTTAAAACAATTCCAAACTACCTGAAACTCTGAAGGCATTTGTATAGCATATGATACACAGACTACTAAGAGATTCTGAAAAGCGCACGCTCTGGCATGCAGGAGCCAGATCTGAAGAAATATATTTAGCTCATGATGTATACCAACATTGCAACATAGCACAGAGCGAACTAAGCTGCATCTGTGGAACACAGTGTTAGTCTGTGGAATTCCATGAACTCTGGTGAAAGCACTGAAGCATTGCAGTATGAAAAAGAGATCTTCACTTCCAAAATGACAGTTTAATATGCTAATTGTATGTTTACAATTGTGTGTGTACACACATGTGTACATATGCCAGCATCAGATTGAAATAAATAGAGGTCTGCAAATGTGGAACATTTTTTGGATAATGTTTAATGTTGTTTGGCCTTTAAGGGCTTTTACACAAAGTTGGGGTGGGGTTTGTTTGCTTGTCTGTCCTTTTTTTATGACATATACTTAAACCTGCTGGTTTAAAGTTTTAAATTTTCTCTGGGTTGCTTTGTATTCATCTCAGCCACACATTGTCCCTGGCATTGCCAGTCTCTATAGTCACCTAGTAATTTGCTATTTATTCTTCCTTTCTAATCAGATATGGCTCACCTGAATAGGGATATCCGAATGCAGCCCAGTTCTGCCTCACCTTTGGAAGGCCGGTCCCCAACTTCTGTGCATTACCGAAATGGCAACCAGCGCCGCTTTTCTATGGAGGTAACCTGCAAACTAATAAACAGGTTTTGCCCAATGATGCTGATAGAGTTCTGGGAGATTCCCCCCCCCTCCCTTTAAACATAGGAAGATAAATTTGAAAGCTTGAAACAGAAGGGAGCTGACCTCAAATATCAGTGGCCTGTCTAGTTTTCTTTTAACATGTGGTATGTTTTGTTATATAATAATCGTATATATGTTCATGTTTAGAAGTGCTCCCACAACAGCTAATGCTAGATTTAACCTGGCAGTTATTAAAGCTGTATTGTATTGTTTTGCAGTTGGATCTCACTATCCAGTTTGGAAGATCTTGTCATGTGTGATGTGCTATTTTTCTTCCCAGGATGTCAGCAAGCGTCTCTCTCTGCCCATGGATATTCACCTGCCCCCAGAATTCCTCCAAAAACTAGAAATGGAAAATCCAGAGATTTCTAAGCCTCTCAGCAGGATGTCACGGCGGGCATCTCTGGTGAGTCTCACGCACGCTGGAGCTTCCACAGTTTTGTGTTTCGGTTGCAGTGTCATCACATAGCACATCATCACTGCAAACACCGGCTCATGGTTTGCTTAGAATTTTTTTTGATTCTTACAATTTCAGCTTAAAAGAAAAGATGTAAATTTTTTCACAGTAAAGTAGCACAATAATTTTACTACTTTTCCTTGCTGATACATGTTGTTCTCATTTAGCAACTGACTCGTTTAGCTATTGTTCACTGTAGTGACAGTGATGAAAAAGTAACTTTGCAATCAGTCCTTGAATTTACGATCTTCGCAAGACTCTAAAGCCAAGAAAAGCTGAAGCACGGTCATAGTTTCACTTAGTGACCACTTCACTTAATGACCAAGTTGCCCGTCCCAGTTGTGGTTGCTAAACAAGGATTGCCTGAACTAGAGAATCAGTTTCACCAAGAGATGAAAAATTCCAGTTCTAATCCAGCTAATAACACTTCTTTATTGAACTGAGAATGAAATACTTCTTAAAATCTTGTTGTTGTTATTTAAAAATTGTGTCTTTACCACCACCTGCTGTTGAATAGTAAATATATTAAAATGGGAAATATGAACCAAGTATCTTTAATACATCCACATAGAAAATCTCTTACCGTCTGGAAGGATTGATCCATGAATCTGTCATCTTTATTAGTGCTATATATTGTTTTGGAAACAGATGCCATATTTGCTGAATGAAATTCAACCTAAACACAGTAGATAATGTTAGTTGTTCAACCATTATAATATTCTGTGGAAATAGAGTCTGTGAGGACCAAAACTATTTGTGATTTCTAGTATCAGACAAAAGGTCGGGGGAATATCTGGAGAATTAGTCTGGTTACTTTGACCCTTGGATCAATATGTTTATATTTCATAAGCAAAGGAAAGAATCACCCAGCCAATCCTCACTTTTAATGTGAGGATTATGTGCTGACCAAAGTAACAGGCCATTTGAGAAGTAAATATGAGAAATATTGTTTTCTGCAAAACACCCCAAACAAAGACAAGAATGTGAGTGGTCATGTTTTAAGCTCCTCAACGGGAAAGAACCAAGTGATGTCCAGATTCTTGAATGTCAAATGGCTGGTTCTTCACAGCCATTGGCTGATGACTGTGCACAGGTAACTGATGCATGATGTTGAGCTGCAAGTTCAAGGACCTGTCTTCATTTATTTCCCAGAGAATTTATTTTAAGCAATACATTTTTACAGAATGGTTATTGGTAAGCTTCTCCTGAAAGTTAAATCATATGGACTAGACTTCTTAATAGATATGTGTTGGCCTGTGTTGTGAGTTTCTTAATACTGTATTTTGTACTTATATTTCTTCCTTTTTTTAACAGTCAGACATTGGGTTTGGCAAGATGGAAACCTATGTTAAACTGGAAAAGTTGGGGGAGGTAAGAATAATCTGAAACAATGATCAGTCCCATCCATCATCCTTTGCAAGTTGCTGTTGTATCTTTGTGATAATTTTTACCTTTTGCAATCTGCTTTGGGAGACAGACATTTAACATATAGGAATTCAAATGTTTAAAATCTCTCTAATTCTGAACTGAATTTAAACACAACTATAGAATTTATCTGCATAAAAAAATAGTTACTATTGGGTGCCTAGGCTTAGAGCATATCAGACTACTGTATCTTCATTGGAATTTATTATATCCTTTTCTTTATAGCTTCATATAACATATTTTTTCCTTGTATTTCATTAGTTAATTCATATCTTCTAGCATTTATTCCTTTTATATTCCAAATTGCAGTTCACATGCCATGCTTGTCACCAGATGACACGAAGATATTGATCTCTGCCGCTCATCATGGCCATTCAGAGCACGCTTCCTAAATTAAATGCATTTTCCATATTAGAATGGACAGGAGGAGGAAAATAGCAAAATTGGTGTAGTGGGTAATGTGCTGGTCTAGAAACTAGGAGACTGTGAGTTCTAGGCTCCCTTAAGAAAGAAAGCTGTCTGAATGACCTTGAGCCACTTTCTCTCAGCCCAACCCACCTCACAGGGTTTTTGTTGTGGGAAGATAGAAGAAGGAAGGAATATTAGATAAGTTTGCAGCTTTGAGTTGACCAAATGTTTTTTTAAAAATGTGGGGGGGGGGACTAACAATAATAAATTAGATCAAGCTTTTCTGTAGAATTTGTTTGGCAGATGGTGACAATGGAGAATTTTTAAATCCAATTTAAAAAAGTTTAAGGAGTGAATTCCTTAAGTTCAGGAGGCCCAGAATGAGAAAGAGAGAGATGTAAAATATATTGCATTTTGTGCTACTTACTTTCATTGTGCTACAAACTTTCTTCACAGGGCACTTATGCTACTGTATTTAAAGGACGCAGCAAACTCACCAAGAATCTTGTTGCGCTGAAGGAGATCAGGTTGGAACATGAAGAAGGAGCACCTTGCACAGCTATACGGGAAGGTAAGACACACGTTTGGGGTTTCCAAATCCCTGTTAGCAACATACAGCAATATTCTAGCTATATTCCTAAGGGTTCACAGGTTATCAATTTTCCCTAACATGGTTCTTCCAGATATCTTAGTTTTCACCTCCTATGATTTGTCTCAAGTTTCCTGGGAATTACTGGTAATTGATAGACCAACCAATCTGGATGAAGATGAGCCTCTGATTCCAGCTCATAGCTCCAACACCTTCAGATGATCTATGGTTGATACTGCTATGCTTTGTCTTACAGTTTCCTTACTGAAGAATCTAAAGCATGCCAACATTGTGACTCTCCACGATATCATTCACACAAAATGCTCCCTCACTCTTGTTTTTGAATATCTGGTAAGTCTACGGATCCCTTTCTAAGGGAAAGCATAGCTGACTCGGGCACCTGCCTGGAGTACATCAGTAACATCCTGAGCAATGCTGAGATTCTTGGTTTTGTTTTAACTGTTAGCTAATCAATAGCATCCATTAGAACTCTCTGGAGAATGTTCACTTATTGTTCCCGGACATGGTTTAACTGTGCTCCAGGTAGTACAGATAGCAATTTTGTTTACTCAGTCATAGTATGTACTCAGTCTTATTCATTTGCCAAGCTTTCCAGAAAAGGTGAACGAAGTTGCCTTAAATAGAAATGCAAATGATGTGTGCATAAGAGAAATCAGAAAGAAATGGCATTTTCTTAGCAGTAGCAAAATGTGGTTTTGAATTGGGAAAACTTGAATTTTCTGGAATAGATGTGTTTATCAAAAAACAAACATTTAAATAGCATCTGGATTGGGTATGTTTGCTAGATGAACTGCTTTTTATCTTTTTATTTAACAGTTACTTGTACCTGTGTATTCATTTTACATGCTGCAACAAACCTCTGAACAGGTTGCATCGTTCAAAGTTGTATAATAAACCTATAATCTATGTTTTGTTGGAGGTAATAACAAGTTGCAAACATACCTTGTTCTTCTGAAGTCCTGGGGAACATAATTGGATTTGCATTTTCTAACACTGAAGAAATTGTGGGCGTCTTATTTCTCATAGCAAGTTATGCCCTCAGGACATGTTTATCTTTGCAGGACAGCGACCTGAAACAGTACCTGGATAACTGTGGGAATCTGATGAGCATGTACAATGTGAAGGTGAGTAGACAGGTAGATGGTTATAAAGATTGGCCTTTGCAGAGGCTTCTCTTGTAAAATAAACGTATGAGAGAATTGTGCATCCCTTCTGTATTTGGTGTCTTACAAATATACTGGATTACTGTTTACATAATTCCCAACACTTGATCATTAGCATTTCTGTGAATGGTACCAATTATTTCTTCTCCGATCTTCTCTTGCTTCAAGATTTTCATGTTCCAGCTGCTTCGTGGTTTATCCTACTGCCATCTGCATAAGATCCTACACAGAGATCTCAAGCCACAGAATCTGCTTATTAATGGAAAAGGAGAACTAAAACTTGCTGACTTTGGTAAGTTAGTGAATGAGACCATCTCCTTGGCTTTCAGAGTAATGACATTTATTTGTTTGTTTGTTTGTTTGGCAAATTAATATGGCCATCTCACATAATGTGACTCTGGGCATCATATAAACACAGCACAATTAAAACAACATCGCCAATCTTAAAATACTGAACATAAATCAAAATAAAAGCATGGAAAAGCAAAGAACACGAGAAATAGTAATCACCTAATATCATGCAACCACCTAGCAGGCTCCCCATGGGATCCCTAAGTTTTTTTTTGGGGGGGGGGCGGGTGAAATAATATGTTGGCCTTCAGAACAATTTTGATAGATACTGTTAATATTAGGGTCACACATCTCAAGAAACTTCCCCCCCACCCTTTTCTTTTCTAATATTTTCCTATATATTATTTACAAATAAACTGGACTTTTACACAAGTGATGAGATTGTGAGAAATAAGCATTGAGGGACATTGGACTTTTTTTGTAAAAACAAGGTGAGTTTTTGTAAAACAAATATGGGTTTAATATAAATCTTGATTAATAGCTGCCACTAAATCTCACCGGCATTTGTTTTGTCCTCAGGTCTAGCCAGAGCCAAGTCTGTCCCAACAAAAACATATTCCAATGAAGTGGTCACATTGTGGTACCGACCTCCTGATGTCCTACTAGGATCTACAGAATATTCCACTCCCATAGACATGTGGTAAGCCTAATGTCTGTGCATGGGTGAAAGTGATTATCCTTCCTGTAGTTCTTTTTAAAATTAGGAAATCGTAGTTTGGCTGCCCTCAATACATACTTTTTCCAAATTCTACCACATGCTGATGGCATAGCCTTTATAATGTTGCAGACCATCTTCTAAACAAGATGGCAGTGCAGTTTGCAAGTACCCACTTACTGTAGCATAATCAAATTCTCAGGGGAAGGATGTTGCAGAGGATGGAAGAAATTAGATTTTTGTGGCTGATTCCTTCATGCTCCTTGCCTCTTGTCTGGTTAGGAATTCAATATGAAAAAATAATCTTTCTTGCATGATCTTCTGAGATCATTCAGGATTCAGCATCCTCTAAGAAGACTGAATTAATGAGAGATAGACAAGGCAACATAGGAGATAGCACACTGCTCCACTCTATTTCATAAGACTTCTCCTTTTAGGGGCGTGGGTTGCATACACTATGAAATGGTCACAGGACGTCCAATGTTCCCAGGATCCACCGTGAAAGAAGAACTTAATTTAATATTCAGAATGTTGGGTGAGTCTTCTTCATTCTGTTTCTGTACTGAACAGAAGATAATGCAATATTTTTTTTAAAAAAACGACAATATGTAAATTAGCAGGGAAAGATTAGAATACATGGAACTCAAGAAAAAGTGCTATAGCGAGACAACCCAAATGATGCCTTCAGATTTTATTTTACCAAATAGGTGCACTTGTGTAGTTAAGTTCGTATTCATGCTTTGTATTCTCAAAAAATGATGAATATTATTATATAATATTATTATATGAGCCATTGTTGCCAGAGAAATAAAACAGAGATAAAAACTGCAGGTATTTGGAATAGGAAAACATGGATTGCAGGGAATTACAAGGCAGGAGTTTTATTCTTCTTCCCAAAGGCGCCATAGCAAAATGATGGATACATTTGGGGGAGCACAATTTCTCAGATTCGTTGTGTGGTATTTCTTACTGAAAGGAACTGAGGATGATGGAAATGGTAAATCCATAACCATAACCATTATTTAATATCAAGCTGTGCTCATCTAGAACATTTTTAGTTTTGCCAACCTAATGCAGTATTTCTCAACCTTGGTTACATGAAGATGTGTGGACTTCAACTCCTAGAATTCCCCAGCACATCTTCAAGTGCCAAGGTTGAATAACACTTGTCTAATGCTTTCCTTGATTTCTACATTGCTCTACCCTACAGAGAATGCATTTTAATATTTGTCTACAATATAAAGGAAAGAAGTATTCTAGTGGGTTTGAATTTCTTAATTTTGGTTTTATTATTTGAAATTTTCAGACCCTAACCCTAACCCCTAAATCCCATGATAGATATATATGCCATCTCATGCCGTGCTGCATATGGATCTAGAAAAAGTGTTAATCCAATCCTTTTTTTCTTGCAGGAACTCCTGCAGAGGAATCTTGGCCAGGCATCACATCCAATGAGGAGTTCAAATCTTACCAATTCACACAATATCGAGCCCAACCCTTGATAAATCATGCACCCAGGTATAGGCAGAATCAAGGAGAGGGCCAATTTATTATGGATCATAGCTGTTGTTTGGAAGTACTACAAGGGGCAAAATATTAGCAGTCCTCTTAGAAATAACTAAAGAAAGAGACAGAGAGAATAAATGATGATATAAAGAACTCTTGGGAAAGTTGGTTGATTGTCTGCACTGTCCTCGGTAAACACAGAGGATTTTTCTGTGTCCCAATGCAACATGTTTCATTCTTATTCTGTCTGAGATTGAGGAATTGAGGGGCAACTTTGCTTTCTTTTCTGGGGCTGCCACTAGATGGCAGTAGTGCTTTGAATTTCAAACTGCAAAGGTAAAGACTAGGCTTTTTTTTTACTGCACTGTCATCTCTACCTTAAGAAAGAACTCAAATTTCCAACTGATAAAATGAATATTTTTTGTAATTAGCTTATGCAGCTTGCTGTCCTCCAGGCATATTGGACTTACAGTTTCCACCATCACCACCTAATGGGGCCACTCAGAATCCAAACTTTTGAGGAAATTGATCTGGGTCATTTTTCTTTGAAACTGGCCCTTTTAACCAGAGCTGGAATCTGCATTCAGATGTTAGTCCTGCAGTAATAGCCAAGTGCTTGAAGAGTCTCCCAAATATAGCAATACTTTCTTCTTTTGCAGGCTGGACACAGAAGGAATTGACCTTTTGACAAATCTCCTCCTGGTAAGTGACCTTCCCTGCTAAGCCAGATATCAGAAATGCCACAGCTCAACCCTCAGATACTTCACCACTACTACCCGTGTGCTGAAGGGATTCAATATCTTTGGTTTCCTTCCTGAGAATTCATGGAGGGACTGTGTGTCCAAAGAAATCTTCCCAGACGGTTACTCCTGCTGATCCCCTTGATTCTCCTAGTTGACAGTTTTTATTCTATAAGTGAAACAAGTTAAGATTCTTAGTGCTGAAGTTCTATAAATGGGTGCTGAAAATAGTGCTGTCCTCTCCTCATTTTGACCTTTTGTGGTCACCAAATAACTTTTTTTCTCAATATGATCTTATTTTATCATCTTATTTCTGAAGTACAAGTATGTACAATTGTTTAAAGGAAGAATGCATGTCGCACAAGACAAATTGATTATAGTCTTGTTTTAAAGTAAATATGATTGCAGTGATATTCTAAATCCAGTCAGGTTAGCAATCATCTAAAAAATTTATTTGATTGATTTTTCTGGTAAATTCTAATCATTTCTCTTGATTTTTCTGAGTAATTTCACAAAGCTGCATCATCTTGCTGCATTCCCAACCTTTCCTTCTTCCTGACATTTGAATTATCTTCTCCAAATCACTGTTTCTAAATGTTCACTGAAGAAGAAGAAGAAGAAGAAGAAGAAGAAGAAGAAGAAGAAGAAGAAGAAGAAGAAGAAGAAGAAGAAGAAGAAGAAGAAGAAGAAGAAGAAGAAGAAGAAGAAGAAGAAGAAGAAGAAGAAGAAGAAGAAGAAGAAGAAGAAGAAGAAGAAGAAGAAGAAGAAAACAGCAATTTAAAATGCACTGGGATGATAATGATTCCATATTTAATAATAATAATAATAAAGTTGGAAGGGACCTTGGAGGTCATCAAGTCCAGCCCCCTGCTCAGGCAGGTAACCCTATACCATTTCAGACAAATGGCTGTCCAGTTTCTTCTTAAAAACTTCCAGTGTTGGAGCATTCACCGCTTCTGGAGGCAGGTTGTTCCACTGGTTAATTGTTCTAACTGTCAGGAAGTTTCTCCTTAGTTCTAGGTTGCTTCTCTCCTTTATTTATTTATTTTTCTTTATTTATGCAAAGGAAGCCATGTTGAGCAATTAAGGAAAATATTTTATAAACATCAGTTGCAAAATTCTCTCAAGTATTAATCAGTGTGTATGTGGGCTGTGGGTGTGCATCTGTAGAAAGGGGAAAAGGTTGAGAAAGAACCAAAGAATGGTTCTAATCCCCAAACTCTGCATCTAGGCAGTCTTAAACTGAATTGTAGGAAGCTGCTGCCAGTTGAATTTGATTGGTTGCTGGATCTTATGCAGGTTTCAGGTTGCATCTAAAAGTGTTAGAACAGGAAAACAGCCGATGGCTAGTTCCCACTTAATAAATATTTATTAAATATTTATAGCCTAACCCAATTCTAATGTATGGGATGCAAAAAAAAAGCCAGAAGTAAAAAAATATGAAATAAAAATACTATTAAAAAATATGTTACATCACAGACATCCTTAGAACCAAGCAAGTTAAACTAAGGGGCAAACATGCCTTGAAATAAAATTGTTTTGATCTGTTCATGGAGTTCCAGCAAGTCAGAGTCCTCTTTATCTATGGGAGGGAGGGTATTCCAAGGAGGAACATCACTGAGAAGGCCCAGCACCTGGTTCGTGCCCTATGGAATTTACAAGGGAAAAACCTACAACACGCTCTGTATGACCAGATGGATGGACAGATTTGATTCTGACAAGGCATTGCCTGATTTATCCCAGGAGAGGGGATTGTGCAACTCCACATGGCACTAGTAGCAGTATTACTGCTGAGTGATGTGAGTGATGATCATGATGTGATCATGATGAATCATGATCTAACTGGCACATTAACCAAAGCTGAGCAACAGCTGCCCTGTCCACATCTCCTGCTTGCTGTTTAAGAGCAAGATCTGAAAGTCCTGGAGAATTCTTGAATCAACTCTTTCAGAGAGAGTTTGACCATTTCAAAAATAACTATCGGAGTCAGTATTACAAAATTAAGTAGATATCTATTGACAGATAGCAAATTGTCCTGGAGGGATTTAATCTGAACTGTTAAAGAGGTATTCCTATGTTTTTAAAAATCAGTAGGCATATTACACTACAAAGTCATTTGAAACCAGCTAGGATAGCATTACCTAGTGCTCAGAAGATACTTCAATTTTCAAGTGGAACACATACCTGTTTCAGCTTGGCAGTGGTATATTTGAACAGTCCAAAGGCCAAAAACCTCTTTGAATGGATCATTTATTCACGGTAGTGACTCTTGAATGCACAAATACCACAGTATGCAACTCAGAACAGGCCTGGCATATAGGATTACAAGACCAATATTGGGGCCGAGGCCATTGGGAACATAATTCATTTATCATCCTTGCCATGTGAGTATCGTAGTTCTACCCCAGCTTGCAGGCAGATATAATATAGATAAAAATGACATGGCTGGCAAGTTCAGATCAAAATAATTGCTATTACTAAATGCTGTGGCAAGGATGCTGTGCCAATAGAATGAGGTTTATCCAGAATGATGCTACTTGAACCATCAAGTCTCAAGGTTGCATTCCACAGCACTTCTGGTTCTTAGTCAACTGGCCCTGTTTTACAGATATTGGCGATGAAATCAGCTTAATAATCCTGGTGAGCTGGGGAATACAGTTTGGAGCGCCAATCAGAACCAATATAATGCCACTGTAATTGGCCAGGAAACCATCAATTCAAACAGTAAGATTGGCAGCTTCAGAAAAACAAAAATAGCGGTGGTGGAAATGAAATAGTAAACCAGTCCTCAGAGAAGATTCCTACACAGGAACATAAAATGTCTGATCATTCCAACGAAAAGGCATAAATGTTCCTCCATTCTAAGTCTGATCTATGATGCTACCAAGTCTCAGATTTCTTGATTATTGTGCTGCTTTGTTCTGTTTCTGCTGCCAAGATTCTTTTGTCCTGTTCTGACTTTTGTAGGAGACGTTGTTTGGCTTTGCAGTAATTGCTTAACTTCCCCTTACTGAGCCAAAACTAAAATAAAAACATAGATTTTCTAAGGTACAGAGTTTTGCCTGACTGCAGACTGAAGAAACCAGACAGGATGCAATTTTGCAGAATAATTTGGGGGGTCATAGGTTTGACAGATTTAAAACAAATGGCTCAACTTGTACTGCACCTCCACTAAATTCCAAAGGACATTAGGGAAATTATATTGTTAGCAAAATAATGTTTCATTTTATGTTTTCTAGCATAGTTTGCCTCTCCCATCATACTATTCAACCAAGCATTTATGATTCTTCTGCAGAGTAATATCTTCAGATCAATCAATTATTTAAAAATTCTGCAGCCACACAATGAATCAGCATCTGGGAATGATGTGTAAAATCACTGTGCAAATATGGACTCAAGTCTTTTTTTCCCTCTAAGTATGAAGCCAAACAACGTATCTCTGCTGAATCAGCTCTACGACATCCCTACTTTATGATCTTAGATGAACGGGTCCACCTCCTTCCTGAGAGTAAGCATACAGTGGGAACATTGTGACATAAGATGACTTAATAATACCTCCAAAGAATGAATAAAACAATTGTTTTGTATCAGATTAAGTCCTTTCCCTGATCCTTTCAAAGGACCTTTTACTTCAGGCAATTAGTCACAGTAAAGTTTTAGAAGTATCAAACTTCCCTAACAAGAGTTAAGGTACAGGTTGCTGTGCAGCACAGTTGATAGCTGCATTTTATTGTTTGTACATGTTTTGCTTTTCATTGTCACTTTGAAAACATCTCCATTTTAGCCTCAGAAATCCAGAGCCCAAGCATGGAAAATAAATGTGTAAAATATTTTTTTAAAAAGGCAGAAGTGAGAGAAATAAAATCCAAGAAATGCAATTTTTCAAAAGAGAGGAAGATGTGGGAAGAAAGCTACTACCAGAACTTTGGTAACATAAATAACATCCAGTGGATAACAGCAACACTAATCCAATCAGTCTTCTACAGGTGTACTTACTGTAGAGGTCCATCCACTGTGGGGCTTCTGGGTCACATACACAGAGTGAATCAGAATGGCTAATGACCTCTAACAAATGCAATCCATGACTTCTGTTTCCCTCTCCTCTCCTCTAGCTGCCTCCATCTTCTCTTTGAAGGAAATTGAACTTCAGAAAGACCCTGGTTGCCGAGGCTCAAGTTTCCAGCATGTTGGTAGGTACCACCTTCTCCTGGAGAACAGTTTGACTGAAGGCTATGCATAAATCTTTCATTTTCTATATTTTTCTGATAATAAATTGATGATGTTCATAGCAACCAGATCTCCAAATATGTTCTAAGGATCAGATCTCATGACATAGAGATGGTGATCTATACTGTTGTTCTAAAAATAAATACAGTATATATTTGCTAGTTATATATCATGGTTGATCATTCACAGATGAGATAGTCATAGCACATGAAAACTCATAAAACCCAGGTAAATTAATATATAAGGAATTCCAGAAGGTGGTGCATTAGGCCCTCCAAATGTTACTGTAGTTTAACTCCCAGCAGACCCAGCTGCCATGGCAGGAAAAGTCAAGCTGGAAGGTAAGATGTGGCAATATTTTGCCAGAGCGAGGAGCGAGAGACAGGGGAACGAAACATTCTTCCCACATACTTTTTGGGGACACAACAAAACAAACTAGTGGTGTGTGTTTTTTTAAATCATATCCAGCATAAGTCTTTTATATTTCCTGTAGTATTCTTTGTATTTGAAAGTGACACTTTTTAAAATATTTCCACAAAATTCTGAGGCTTGAGCTGCAGTCAAATGAAGCTTCAAAATATAGTTGAATTTACAAATAAGATAGTAAACTTTTATGATGATTTTTATGATTGATATTATTGATATATCAATAATAATATATATATAATAATATATTAATTTCCATTCCTCCTATATATATATAAAGTAGAGGAAGGAATCTTGATGAAATCTCCCTTTTTTAATCCCATCTTCCAAGTCACAGATTTTGGTCCATGGTCCATGGCCCATGATTATCTATTTTTTCTCCTTCCTTATTTCTACAGCTCGAGGAAAGAATAGGCGGCAAAGCATATTTTAAGCCTGTTTGTTCATTCATCCAATCACTTTGAAGATGGAAACACTGAGAAGAGAGAGGACCACTGGATCCCAGATAGTCCATCCCAGAAAAAGAAGGGGTGGCATCTACTGAACATGAGCTGTCTTGCAATCTCAGGCATGCAGTACAGCTTTTTCTCAAAATCCCGCCTCTTTCTCCAGTGAGAAAGGAAAAGAGAGACATTGTAAAGCTCCCATTCTTCATACAGCATACAGCAAGTGGAATATGCCACCTGGGGAAGAATCTGCATCAGATGGTGAGTGGCCTCTGAAATATTGAGGCTGCTGTTCTGGATGGAAGCAATCCAGTCGTGGAATCCACATCAGCTTTGCTTCTTCAATGTCTTATCATAACCGATGTTTTGAATTCCATTATTTTCCTCATCATGAGATGATTTCTATGATGCCTCTCAGATATGATGAGTATGAAGTAACAGTGGAAAGCACTGATTTTTATCCAAATCCCTCTCCCTCTGCCTTTAAACTGAAAAAAGAAACATGAAGGTTTAACAAGGGCAACTACAATAACAATTTAAAAGTCTGTTTTCTTTGAGTTACCTTTGCTCTATTTTTTAAGAAATGTTCTCAATTCTAAAAGGAGAAAGGATGGAGTGAGGAAGAAAGGTGTTTTGATAGATGTTCTTAGGCCCTTAGTACTTAGGCATATCAAAATATTTACTAAATTTAAATTTTCTCACACAAGATTTCAACTTGCAGACCAGGATTTAAATCAGCCATGCTCTCTGGATAAGTTGAATTATAATTCCCACAATTTTCAGAAGTTAGGTATATATAAAAATTGTAATTTCAGCACGGATAGGGAGCACCAGTTTGGAAGAAGCTGATCACTTTTTAACTTACCATATTTATAAAAAAGCACAGAGACATACAAAAGCTGAAGTCAAGTCATGAAAAAGATTAGACAGTACTTGAATCTTTAACTAGGTTGACTGTAAAACTGAAAAAACTTGAATTTTTTTTTTCGGCCTGTATATTTCTGTATTCCTGTATTGAATCCTGTCAGTATGGTTGATATATGAAGATACAAACTGTTCTTCATTGTTTGTGCCTATCACTACAGAAACATACTTTAAAGTCACAAAGCATCGTTGGTAAACCTGCCACATCCTTGGTGACCCTGGCACGAACAGAAAAATTCTACACTCCTATGTGTGCATTTATGCTTTTTTCAATATTATTATGCTAGTAAGCATATTCCCTAGAACAGGAGTCCCCAACCCCCGGTTCATGGACCAGTGCCAGCATGCCAGCAACTGGGCCACGTAAACAAGCAAAGCCCCATCCACAGAATGCAGGCAGCACACAAAACCACGCCTCCTCCAGTCCACGGAAAAACCTCTCTCCATGTAACCAGTCCCTGGTGCCCAAAAGGTTGGGGACCTCTGCCCTAGAAAGTATGTGTAGCACTTCAGATGAATCCCCTTAAATCTATGGAAAGTAAAGGCTGTTGATCTATTTTTATTCCTGAGGTCAGTCAACTCACTAGAGAGATGGTAGAACTGGAATGAAAAAGCTTGAAACCAATTTCTCCTACCACTCAAAAGATGTTATGTAACTGTTCCATTTTCTTAATGAATGTTCTATGTTAAAACAAAAGTTGTAAGAAATATTGAAAAAGGTTGTGAAGCAAGGACATTAATTTTTGGATCAAACACATGCAAAAACCTAAGTTATAAGTGAAGATGCAAAGTGAATGTGCAATAAAAACTTAACTACAAACATTTTTATGAGGAAATAAGAGTGCTTTGAGACTGACAGCAGCTAGCATTACCAAAACATTTCAATTTTTTTTTCCTAATAGAAAAATGATGAAAGAAATTGTGAATAAACACCAAGGGTTTCCAAGTGGAATACAACATATTCTACATACATTCCTCCTCTTAAAATTTCATGAATGAGCCAGGGCAATCGCACAAAAGCATTGTTTCAGATTGTGTAATTAGTTCAGGTAGCTGTGTGTTTCAACTCAAAATTATACTATTTCTTCTGCAAAGCCTAAAGAAAAGGGGTGGGTAACCTAGGTAATACCAATGTGCGCAAGACCTCTCCCTGATACCCCCCAGCAAGTTCTTATCTTTGCCTTTTATAATATTTTAATTAAAACCAAGTTCATTTGGAAATGGGCATACTGCAAAATGAATATTAGCCTCAGAGCCCCACAAGCATTTTTAGAAAATATCAGCAATCGATGCCTGCAGCTCAATGCTTTATTTGAACTTGTGCCCATCAGCTCAGAAGAATCCAAAGTGGAAACAAGCAATGATGGAGGGGGTCAGAAAGTGATGTCAAAATAAAATTACCTCTTGATACATCTATTGTTTGCAATTTCCACACTGACAAGATAGGTATTTTGTTACTACATGCTCTCAAAATTGCAATATGCCCATCATATCATTGCCCATCTCTGCTCTTGAAAACTATTCTTCATTGCTTCAGCTTTAATAGCTGTTCATTGAAAAGGTTTAATTGAGTGGCCATTTGCACTTGTGCAGTAATCATTCAAAACTTCTTGTTCTGATTTTGTTTTTTGTTCCTTCATTTTGGAGAAAAAAGTAAGGAGGAATCCACTTGGGTAGCAGATTCCAGAAGACGCACCAAATTAAAGCACCAATCTCTGTATGAGATCCAACTCTGATGGGAATGAGGGAAAAGACATTGATCTTTCGCTTTCAAAATGTTTTGATTATCAATGGTTCCCTTTTGTAAGACAAATATATCTAGATTTTGCACAAATTTCTTAACAAAGGAAAGTTCTGCACAGTTCTAGTTCTGCACAGAAATAGATGGATCTCATCAGCAATGAGTTAGCAAATGGTCTAAATACTTATAGCAAAGAATTGCTTTGCTACTTAAACTATCATGTGAATTTCAGCCTTCTCTTATCATTAGTGTGCTTGCTTCCTCACTCAGCCATAATACCCTGGTGACAAAAGAAACTATAACTGACCCACTTCCCTTTCTTTGCAATTTCTATAGATTTAATCCACTGAGAACCTAAAGTGCCAGCGGATCCCTTGTAACCACAGCCTTAAACCTTCAAAGCTCCCTTGTCTACTTCCTTCCTGCCAGTAATATACAATCATTTCTCTTAAATGTTGTGTTATGTTTCACCCCCATAATTCCCCACTTGGGTACTGTTTCCAAAGTGTCCATTTTTTTAACCAGGCCTCTGCTTCCCAGGCCACTTCTCTCTTTATCCTTTCTCTTCACCATCTCTTAACTTATGTATGCGGCATTCCTTTTATATGCAGTTTCTCAACACTAGGAAATGTATTTTGTGGAGAACATCTTGTTTATATCCTCTATCATTTATCACAAACCTGTTCATTGGGTTTTCCTTTTGAGTCCTCTTAATCCACTGCTTATTTTTTAACCATCACAGCTCTAGTTCTTGCTTCCCTGGAGGGCTATTCCCTAACACTAAGTCCTCAGAGAGCCTTAATTCCTGAAAGAAATTTCTTCTCATTCCATCACAGAAGAAGCTGAACATATGAATAATTATTTCTTGATGAAGTGGGTTCTGTTTCATTGCTGTTGCTCAACCAGTCAGTGTTATTTTAATTCCTTCCAATACTAGGCTTTAATGGCCCAATTTTTCTCAGTTTGGCTATTCCAAAATAAATTAGATATTCTTATTATCACTCAGTTATATAATTTTGGAACTTTCAGGAAACATCTTGCATATAGTTCAAATTAAAAGAAAAAATACTTGAAACATCATATCAACAGACAAGTTCCTCCACTGGGGATATACAGAGTGGCAAGGTGGATGAGCTCTGGCAGGTCAATTATGCTAATAAAGGCCAAAAGACAACTTTCAAGCTGAAGGGCTTGCTTGGAACTTAAGAGCAAATCCCTGTCCAGTAACTCTTCCCTTTCGTGTTATCTCAGTAGTTTTCCACAACCGAGAGCCACGGATGGCTATATTCTGAAATTACCTGTACTATGCCAGCATTATCAAGGCCCCAGCTGACTCTTCCTGTTTCTTCAGTTTTACTTGGGCTTCAAGGAAACCCAGATCTCTGGCTTTCACAGCCAGGGTTTTTTTTTTTAATGGTTTGGTCAGCTGGTTAACCTTGAGAGTGCAAGACCTTGAAACTGACTAACCCATCTCTGATTTTCACTTAAGATGCATGTGTAACAGACTTGTGTCTTGTGCTTCTGTAGCCTGTATGATTGGCAATTCTTTTCCCAATGGCTGCTGTTCCAAGGAAGTGCTGGTGTTTTAGCTCCCTCTCATTACATCTGTTCTTAGGATAGTTTACAGCTGTCATACCATTTCACATGACTAAGCCAGTGGTGGGATTCAGCCAGTTCGCACCAGTTCGGTAGAACCGGTAGCTAATTTTTTGTTGCCCAAGCCCAGAATGGACTTCCGGAAGCAGCATCCACACAGAGAACTGGTTGTTCACATATTTGAATCCCACCACTGGACTAAGCCCTTCTTCAGATGCTGCTCTTACCCACTGGTTGAATCTCAGCTACCAGACTATGGTTGTTTGTTGCTGCATAGAGGTTATTAGGATGACCAGATGACCCCCACGTTCAAGGAATAAAAATAGCAAAGTACAGTCAATCAGCAGAAGAATGGGAAGGGAGGGAGGGAGGAAGAGAGGGGTAACTAAAACACTGTGCATGTCAGCTGGAGAAACATTTCACCTTCTGGATAATTTCAGCCAAAGAAATCACCATTCATGAATCTTAGAATGAGATGCCTTAAAACTGGAGAGCCAGCGTAGATGCATTTTGGACACGTGATGAAGGTATTCTGTGGAGGCAGCAAGAATTAGGTGGCATATTTCCTGTCAGCTTTGAGAGGGAATAGAAACACAGGAAACAGTTATGCGGTTATGGAATAAGCCTAATTTTGTCTTGAATGAAGGAGTTGGGTTATTGGGATGAGCACTGTGAAGTTAGAAAGCTTTCCATTTTATATGATGAAATTTCAGAAACCAGCAAGGAGAGATATATGTATTTTTTTTTTCTTTCCCATTCTCCAGAAATGTCTCTTGCGTGTAATTCTGCAATTAACTGTTAAATGAATCATGAAACACATCTTTACCAGCTTTTTCCTTCGCATTATACAAATGAAGTGGAAATTAATGTTTTTTTTTCTGAGCCAGCATATTAGATTATATTAACAGTTATTTGGCATATCCTGGAATAAATATTTTAACCGATTAAAACCATAACCATGACTGTTTACCCAATGCCACATTCATTTTTTAAAGAGTTCTATACAAAAGAATGTTTGATAAGTATTGAGAGGAAAGCAGTAATTTTAGTACTGGATTTTGCTGGCAAACGTTAGGCTACTTGCAGTGCTATTTACAAAGTTAAGACACCTGATTTTTTTAGACAAAAATGTTTGCATAAGAAATGGATTCAGTAAAGCATTTAATCACATGCTAATATTTTGCACCTAGACTGAAATATAGAAATCACTATGCCTAAATAGCAGTTTGGTGTATTACTATTGCTAGGATAAAACATGGCGATAATCATTGCTTGTTTACAATCATTATTTATTTATAGCTTCTTTGCCCTGCAAGCAGCACAGTAAAACAAGACAGGGCTTGCTTCAAGCTTGTAATCACAGCATAGAAAAATGGGTGGGGATGAATAAGAGAGAAAGGAAGCTCATATTTATTAAAATTATAAAATTCTTACAAGGGCCAGATGGGATTAAAACAATTATATTAGATGGTATCCAATAGAATATTTACTTTCCATTCCTTCCTGTTTTGATCAAATAGCTCTATATTTGTGTCAGATTCTATTGGTATATGTTTCCCCTTCCTTGGCATTCAGATTACTTAAAATAGATTACAGTGCCAAATGTTTTCTTAGTATACATTCTAAAGTTTGCTTCCACTATTAACACACTTATAACACAATCTTGAGGACAACAGGACTTCCTTCAGTACACAATGGCATTGTACTATAGTTATTTAAACTCATATATTTCCTTATTCTTCCACTGTTATAGCATTCAGTCAATACAGATTTGGCCTTTGCTAATAGTCAATATGGTGAAGAGAATTGCATGATCAGAATCTAATAACATGTCCAGAAAAATAAACCTTTAGTAAAAAAAATTGCAGGCTTTCCAATCATCTCCTTTCTAGATGCATGTAAGTGCAGGAATATACATCTGAGCTATGATGTGAATAAGCCATTAAATTAGGCTACAGGTATCCATACATCAAGGATAGTTTTTGATAGCAATTATCCTGCATAATTGCAGGGTCTGCATAATTTTGCACAGCATTTTCCAATGCATGAGCCAATGAGGAATCCAGTTCCTGCAGAAAGTGCCCAGTATCCCATGATTCCCTGAGCCAAAACATCTAAATTGAAGAATTATAGAACTGGGAGAGACATTTTAGACCATTGCATCCATCACCCCTGTCTTCTAAGGTATTAGCATCCTGTCTTATTTTTATAGTCTGCAGATATGTTGCCTGCATGTCTTTATCTAAGCCATTAATAAAAATATTGAAGAATACAGGAACCAAGACTGATACTTGTAGTAGCCTATCGCACTTGATATTTCTATCAAATTTTAGTACTCGTTAAGTACAATTTTCAATCTGGCTATGTAACACTTAATTGATATGCTATTCTTCCATGCTTTACCAGTTGCTATTCACATAAGGTGTTTTATAAAGGTATTTCAACAAATTTCTGACAATTCATTAAAGAGGATACACAATTTTTTAAAATGAGGTAAAATTAAAGATTCATTCTTGTGAAATACATGGTGATGTCTCGTAATCATAGCATTGCTTTTAAGAAGTTTAGAGATTAACTTGTATGATCTGCTCTAGATTTGTCCCAGACATCAATGATAGACAAGTCTATAATTTCTTTCTTTTTCCCCTTCTTGAAATTAGGTGGCATTTCACCAGTTTTCCAGATTTCTAAAAAATTAGAATATCAGAATATGGCCAGAACATCTCCTAGTTCTTTCAGTGACTTAGGATACAGTTTATCTAGTGCTGACAGTTTAAACTCATTCAGAGTAAAGAGAGATTCTCTGATCACGATTCCATCCATCACTAACTTCTTCCCAATGGCCAGGAGGACAACAGTAGCTGTGGCTGGGGCCCTAGAGTCAATCCACTTGCGAAATGTGTTCTGTCAGCTGAAGCAATGAGTTCTGTAATGGAGAGGCTTTCTTGGTCAACTACCCTTCCTCATCAAATCTTGTTTTGTTCTCCTTTGTTTTGGGGAAACTAGGTTGCCAAAATAGAATGAGAGAATTTTGGTGTTTTCCTGATACAACTGACAGGTGAAATTAGGTTAGTTTATATCACGGGTGTCAAACTCGCCACGTCACATTACGTGTTGCAACGTATCACGACTTCTTTTGCATTGCCGGAGCTGGGGTGGGCGTGGCCTTTGCATGACGCTACCGGCCCGCAGGCTGGCAGTTTGACACTCTTGCTCAATATAAATCTGGATCTGTTTTCAATAAAATGTAACCTCCATGAGGTTACCTGATTATGTTAATTATGCTCACAATATGCTAAACCTCCCAGTTAAGTGCTTTTGGGAACAGAATTGTTGGGACTTGATCATTTGGAACAAAGCACCAGTGTTTGCTTAGTTGAAACTATGAAAGCAAACTTAACCTTGACCCATGGAATTCTTTATCCACATACAGCAGCAATTTCACCGTACTTTCCATCATTCTCCTTCACTACTGGGACTTTCAAATGAACAAAAGCCCCAGTGACCTATGCTGTTTAAATTCCTTCCACCTTTTTTAAGGTCCTAACCTTGCTCACTGAAGACACATGTAGAATTTACATAATCCCAGTGCAAAAGTCTTCAGTAAGACTTTATATTCAGTTGAGGAATATAAAGCTGTATTTCATATGGACACATATGGACCAAATATAATTTCTTATTCAGATGACATGTGGGGAAAGGTTCACCTTGACATTGAATTTTAAAACATATAGGCAGTTCCATCCCAAAAGCCAACAGCCTAACTTAAAACAGGAATGTTTGTTACACATTTCTGCAAAAATGAAATTAACACATCTTGTTTAAACAGAATAGAAGAAACATTGTTTAGGCCCCGTATCATTTTTTTTTCTTTTCATTTTAGGACGTTATTGACAAAAACAAATGGAAGAACACAATCAATAGACTGAGTTAAAGTTACGAGCTCAGTTTTCCTTGTAGTATAGGGTCTGTTTTAAATATAAGAAATATGTTTCTGTATTTATTGTTTCAGCAATTCTCTTTTAAATGGTGAATGTAAGAGGGGGTGATGAAAAATACTGAAGGTTAAAAAGCAATTTGCAGGATCTGCTGAAGCAAATCCTGGAAAGCAAAGCTGGATCTATAATTGTGCATCATCTAGCAGAGAATGTGGTCATTTTTCTTCCAAGGCTAGTTGGGCTTAAAGTACTTCAATCCTCCTGAAAATATTTTTTCCTATGGGTCTTACCCAAACTTTCTCAGAAGCTAAAATTTGTTCCTGTGCCTTGTTCTTCCATTGAGTAGCCTTGGTTGTTTCCTGAAGAAATTATCAGAAGGACTTGGCAATTTATTAGACCATTCCTAGTTATTAGTATCTGTGGAGACGGCCCTTTTGTTCTAGCAAATTTAAGTACATATATTTTCTATTCAGCCAAGTGATATTATCAGCAAATATTTGGTATACTGATGTATGCAGCTTGAATTATTATTGCTCTGTACCTGCTCACTCATATGACTTGGCAAATGGAATTTCTGCTGATGTCTTTCTGCTGGAGCACATGCACACTGCCCTTTCCTTTAGGTCTTAGAAAAAACTTGCAAACCAGAAAGACTTAGAAAAAAAAAGAGGCTGACACTTTCTAGCAGGTGGTAATACATACTGAAATGTTATATTTTATTGAATCTCCTAACCTTAAGGACCACATTTTCATTTTTGCCTATGATTGGAGTCCTTCTGCCTTGGCTGCTCTAATTATTCTTAATAAATGTGATTTGCAAATTAATCCAACTAGCCAGTCACTAAACATGGTGAAACTTTAATTAGGATTGTTTTGTTAACTTGTTGCACAATTGCCCTACCTTGTTCGTGATGTAGATCCAGACAATATTGTTTCCACTAGTAATTTTCCTATTGAATTCTTCCTTACAAAGAAATAAATCTTCCAAATAGTTCCTGTTATCATTACTCAAAACAACATTTTTTACATTCTCATATAATTTGATAATGGAGTTGGAAACCAGTGACCTTCCAGAAGTTGCTGAAACATGACCACAAGGACAGTAAGGAGAATTTGCTTAACAACATCTAGAGTGTCCCCAATTCCCCACCCTCTTATGCACCTGATTACTTGGGAATTGACCCATCAAGGATCATCCCATGCACTTGTAATATTCTGTAGACCAGGGGTCTTCAAACTTGGCCCTTTTATGACTTGTGGACTTCAACTCCTGGCTGAGGAATTCTGGGAGCTGAAGTCCACAGGTCATAAAAGGACCAAGTTTGAAGACCCCTGCTATAGACCAAAATCCAAGATATCGCTATACATGGAACTATGTTTTACATTGTCCATTCCTGTGTTGCAGAAAACAACATATAAAAGATTTAGGCTATATTTCTGTACTCCCTGATCAGCAAATAACTCCCATTTAAATTTTAGTAATTTTTAATTGGATAGACATAGGTTGTGAGATATGAATTAGTATCAGAATGATGATGTTTTTATAATGTTCTCGGGAACTGATCTGTAAAATCAGTTGTCTTGGTCTTTGTGTGATTATTCCCCCAGAGTATGCTTTCCAGATGTATTGGCGTACAACACCCAGTTGTACCCATTTCTAGTCAACACAATAATGAGAGTTGAAACCAACATATGGAAGTCCCCAATTTGAGGAAATCTGCACTAGCACATTCTCTGTTTGCAATAAACTTCAGATAAGTCTGTTTCCAAGACAACATTTGCTTTTTCATACATAAAAATAGAAACACACCTTTCTCACATGCATTTCAGTCATATTTTAATGAAGAAATAGTACAGAAAGGAAATCTAGAGTATCATTCTGGGCTTGTCTTGTGGAAGTAAATCCTAACTAACTAGATAGTTGATTGTAAACCAAATGAGTCACCCAACTGCTTTGAAACTTATCGAATTTGGTTCTCAACGCATTCTGACATGAAATTTTTGTCTGGCAGTCATGGTTTATTTGGTACTCAATGCACTAGCTAGAACTTGTCAGTGTTGGCTGCCAATTCATGATGAGTACCGAGGTACACTGTAATTCCAATTCCACCTCTATCTTCGGCCACAAACTGGCAACTTTTGCAGATACCTGCCTATTGATCTGATTTTGGAAAGCCTAACTTCTACACTTAATGTTTACAATTGCAACATTTCTTTTCCAGTATCACCATAAATCCTTTTTTCCATGGAAAAGATTTTTTTTCTCCCTTTTATTTCCAAATCCAATCACACTTCTTAAATTTAGTCCATATTTCTGCTCTTTTTCTGTCTTCAGAAGGCTTCTGAGAAATCAAAGGGTTGTCATGCTTGCCCATTTAGTTGCACTGGTCCAAGGGAAGCAAAATCCAGTCTGCTCTTTAAAAAAAAAAAAAAAAAAGGGTTCATCATATGAGAGTACCAATATCACAAGCAGTATCCCAAATATGAAACTGAGTTTGCAAGACAACCCTGGTATCTTCAAGCAATGACTTTTGCCTTTTCTACTTTCGATTACCAGCTCTAACATTCAGTGATGCTATCAGGGCAGGATTTGGGGAGAGATGCCTGGCACCCACTCAGCATGATCAGAAAAGCCCCCAAGTTTAACAAGACTGCCTTATTACATCTAAGAGTAAGAAAGCAATACCCAGAGCTCTTTTTTTTATATCACTAAATCCAGAATCTAAAATTATCTAATTCTGTGAGTGTTGACTTCATGTATTCCCAAATTATGAGGCTTGGGGAGACTTTAGCAAGGAAAAAGTTGATTTCCCCATATTTTTCTGAAATATCTTATATTCTTCCTGTCCTTGATCAGATTCTTGCCCTCATTTTAAAACCAACACAACTAAATTAAAATGTGACCTTGAGGCTTGTTGGTTGTTCTTTTTTAAAAAAAACGTACTCACTTATTTACTTTAACCTAACACAAGGGGAGATTGTGCAAGAAGACTGAGGTGCAGTACATGATTTCAGCTGGTTTACTCCTATCAGCTGACACCAGATTCAAAGCCATGTGGAGTTTTCAAGGTCCTGTCCTAAAACAGTCTCATTGCCCACAGCAAACTAACTGGCCTTCATTGGGTCATTTCAGCTCCCTAGCCTAAAGCAATTTCCTTTTCAAGCACAAATGGGGTTTGAGTGTGACTCTGCTAGCCCAGGCAAAGTTTGTGCATCATACTGTGGTCCTTTTGGATGAAAACAGGATATAAAACTAATAGGGTCTGCTAATTGAAAAGTGCTAATCAAAAACCTGACTGTCTGGCTGCATCTGTATCAGCCTTACATCCTGTGTTCTAGGTAATGTGTGGAATGTATCCCTAAACCCTCTCTTGTCTCCTGCTGAATGTTAACTTGCAGTAAAAAAAAATCTGTATTAATCATTGCCAATTTCTAAACGTAGTGGTTGTGTAAGTTCAAGTATTCAACTGAGCACTGTATACATTTCTGTAAAAAGGTTTGGGCATGACTCATCTTGAAAATACTGATAATATATGGAAACTTGATATTATTGTAGAAATAAAAGACAAGTTTAAAGGTGATTATTTTATCACGCTTTTGCCAGGTAAAGCAGTTCAGTTTTTTAACAGAAAGTTTTTAAATAAACTGAAAGGGTGACAAGGATAAAGGCAGCATTCACGCTCACCTGAATGTGTGCCTCCACAGGTTTTATAAATGGTAGTTTGGGAGATTCTTTGTCTACAGCATGAATTGTTGTGCTTATTATTTTACTCAGGCTTACCTTGGAAAAGTACTGTTGAAAATGAAATTGGCAAAATAAGGGGTTGTTCAGAACAGAGATTTTGTTTTGAAAGGTAGAAAGTTACAATATCCGTTGCTAGTGTGTTCTGACTTTCATTTAGAAAGGTTCCTTTTTTTGGGATGAAACTCCTTTTAAGATAATCTATGTAACTTCAATGTTGTTCAAACCTTTGTATAGTTATGGAAAATACTTCATCAATAAAGTGATAGTGATTTCTCCCTCCCCACTTCTCTGTATTTGAATTAAATTATTATTATATTGGTTGGGGCAATGAAAACTTACCAAATGTAAAACGAAACTTAGCAAAAGAATGAAACAAAATCTTCTGCTGTTTGAAGTACCTGAGATTTTTTTCTTTCTAGTATTCATTTTTATAATTGATATTTGCAAGCTGGTTTGCTTTATGCATGATCTAGAAAGTCAGCCAGATCTTTCTGAGATATTAAAGCCTGCCTTTAATATTTCAGAGCTAAATATTCCTGTCACAGTAGAAGAGTGACAACTACTAGAGCCCTTCCAAAGTTGCTAGCAAATTGTTGTTCTGAATGGTTAAAAATTAGAAAATTCAAGAAGAATAATTGTGGCAACAGTACTTAAGTTTGTTAACTGTATATGTAAACAACACTGAATCAGCTTTTGAAAGATAGAAAACATAACAAATTCATCAGTGGAATTCTACAGAGTGCAAGTGATGATCCATTGAGTAACAATAAATAAAATAGGTACATTAAAAAATTGGAGTATTAGGAGTTGTTTCCAAAAATATCATAATGTTTTGTAAAAATCACTGTGGTGTTCAGCCACGTTAAATTAATCGCACAGTTGTCAATAAAAGACTTTCATTTTTTCAACATCAAAGCATCAAGCATACTGAAACCCCCTGCAAAGCCAAAGATAGTTGGCATGTGTAGTATAATCTTCAATGCATTTATTCAGAAATAAACCTAAGTTTCATTGAGTTCAGTGCAACTAGTGATTAGGGTTGCCAGGTGTCCACTATTTGAGTGGACAGTCCACTTTTTTCACATTATGTTCACTATTTTTTTTCACAAAATAGTGGACATTTTTTTATTCAAAAGCTTTATGATGAAATGGTACGTAATCTAAAGCTATACAGTCTACTTTTTTTACTACTTAATAGCTTGTCCGCTATTTTTTGGAAGCAGACCTGGCAACCCTACTAGTGATCTAGTAAGAAATTGCAGCATTAGACTGATCATTTAGTTCCTTTATTTATTTATTAAATGTGCTGCCCACTTCGACCATAAGGCAACTCTGAGAGGCTTAGAATAAGTAAATAGCACAACTATTTAAATACTGGAATCAGAGAATCAGGCATGAGCACATCGATAAATTTAATTCAGAAAGTTTTCTACAACTGTTTAATCCAATTTCTGTCTTCTTAGTAAAATTTATGATCTCATTTGGGGAAGGCTGCTGTTCAGTGGTAAAATGAAAATTTGAAAATTAATGCGTCACATCAGATAAAATGGCTGGAAAAAACTCTTGATTGAAATAATGCTGAGCTATTGTTAATCCATGGATATAATACCAAAATAACTTAATGACCTGATGCCATGTAAGGCAACTTCTTATGCTATTCTCTTTAAAATTCATTTAGATTTAATACAAGTTTATATTGAAGTGTAGAACAAAATTCACCCAACTCTTCTTAGCAAACCCATTTAATTTTAGTTACATCTTATGTTTTGTAATACATCTCTTAACCGGCCTCTTTACATTCCTCTCACTGAAATATATTTTACATTGAAGACACATTCAGAGTGTTTGATACATTAAATGTCATATTACATCAGTGGTTGGTTCATTTGGGGTTTGTCAAATGACTTACTAAGTAAACCATAGTTTGCAAAATTATCAAAATCTGAAGCAGATTACAATTTAAAGCAAGCTTCATTGTTCTAGATGCCAAGTTTACTATACACTTTGAACTTCCATTAAAAAAAATACGTTCATGAGCTATACATGTTGTAACAAGGATGTAACTTTCACAGGTATGAATCATACATAGGAAATGAAATGTGGCAAATAATTGTTTACAAAACAGGTTTGGCTTCAAGCTTGATTGAATAACAATAGCTTTCCAATAGAGAACCAAAGGGAATAACACTATTACAAGTAAAATCTCAAGCATGAACAGGATTGAGAGATATTCAGCATTATTTTCTGGTATGCTTCAACATATCCACACTAAACTTTTTCACTGCTTACATTGTCATATGGGAGCCACTGTCCAAAATCCATTCATTTGGAGATTTCAATCATTTGAGCAGAATACTCTTACCTTACAGGTGGAAATCCTATCTAGAGGGACATGCTTACTACTTTCATGGCATTGGTTGTTTGGTTTGTGCTATGTCTAACTTTTGAAGGCATCCACTTTGTGTATTCAGCCAAATTTTCCAAAAGGCAAACTCCCTATGGTGGTTGTCTCTGAGAATGAATCTCATTGCTAACCAATATGTTATTGCATTTTATGATTCCTCTCTCTATGTCTTAACACTTCTGCAACCAGAAGGTTGCATTAGAGTCGAGAAATAAGTGTTAAAGTTTGGTGCAAAATGGCAAGGAACTTAAACTTGAGCATTAGGGTTTTGGTTGTATTTGCGGTAACCAAAAGAAGTTAGAAGTAGAAGAAATATGATCCTTGGAGACATTAAATATAAAGATTAAAGGTAACAAGAAGAAACCTTGTGTTAGACAGCTTGATATAAATAAAGAAAATTAGGACGCTTAGAGGAAAGAGTCAGAGCAATGAAAACTCTGAAAGGAAACTATTAAAATGTATAGAGATTTGAATGCAAACATGCAGTCTAATGCTAAACAGCATTTTCTAAACAGCATCCATCCACAAAGCAACAGCAACATGCTTTCCTTCCATCAAGGCAGGAGAAAAGAATGTAATTGATAGGAAAACTGCTGCCCATGTCCAACTACCTTTTACGATGAGCACCATGGTCAGTAGTGTTGCTCCCCTCGCAGAATGTAGTGTGGATAACTTTCAAGACTGTGATTAGTTTTTCTGTTTCAAGCCTAGGCTGGAAAAAAGCAGTTCCATGCATTATACATGTTCACCACCATCTCCTCTAATCAACCCTGAATCAGAAGGCCTGCAAGCATGCATATTGCTAAATGTAATGCTGCCAAATGTAGGGTATTATATTTTGATTAAGAAATCTTGAAACCCATGAAGTCCTACAACTTTCAGCTCAAAAAGTAATACACCTTTTGCTGAATTCAGGGGAGGTTTTGGCCCAATGTTTTGTGTTTTCCTTTAGAATCCCCTATTTTGGGCCATTGAAGGCCATTGAATGGGAGAAAAAAACCCAGAAAAAATATAATTCACTAATAAGCAATAAGAAAAAATTGGGTATCTCAAATGGATTTTTTTTGTTCCCCACCTCCAATCCCACAAAGGCCCTATGTTTATTAACCAGTAATTTCCATTTCAGAAATCAAAGGCTAAAGCCAGAAGCTTCAGCAGGCAGAGTTGTTGTTGAAGAAACAGAAAGTGACTGTGCATTCACAAAAGCTGACGAGTGACAAGCCTATTTTACTGAGGCAGGAATTTACATAAATCCTGCAGAGCCTTTTATTCTGTGTACCAAAGGACTGTGCTGCTAGCTCTGAGCAAGCTTCACCACAGGACACTAGGAGATTCATTCCATTGAGTTCAATTCCTTTGTGTTGTTTAAGGTTATTCTTCTACCTGTGCAATACTATCTGTATGATAGTCATTTTCCTAGTGCAAGCAGAAAAATAAATTGTTATGGTCTGTTCGTATGTAAAGTTTGATATTTTTTTTCTTATTGGATGCCTGGGAGGAGAATTTGCCCCTTAGAGAATCCCTGCTGGTTGGAAACTTGGCAGCAGGTTTGTTTAAATTGTAAAGGAGCTGGAAGGATTCTGCTTGGGAGATCTCTGACCAGCTCCTCAAAGCCAGAACAGTTCTTGTGTTAAAGCTGGAACTGAGGTTATGACATAGATATGGGGGGAGGTGGGCAGGCAGGAGTCTACTGGTGAAATAAAGGCTTAATCTTGAAGAGAATAATGGAGCACAAAGCAGCATGTTTTCCCTCTAAAATGGCCAACGTGCACGGTGGCCTTTTTTACAGCCATGAGAGGAATGTGTTTTCAATTCCTTAAATAGGCTTTAATTTTCCAAAGGCATTTCTAAACCCAGAACATGTCGGCTGTAAGAAGAAGACGGGTTTTGCTTACCTGCTTGAAGGATTCAGAGGGGATTGTCCTAGAATGTTGTTGGATAGATCCATATCAGGGCTGTGTGTGAAGTCCAGATGCTACCTTCCAACTCCACCTGCTCTGAAGTACTTCCATTCCTTAAACCAACTGAGTCTTCTTTTTTAAGATTGCACAATAGCTATGGAGGGCAATAATACAATCCTTGGAAAAGATATGTTTGATTTTAAGGAATTGCAGAGGCATGTAACCTTCATACCCATGCAGGCTTTAAAGTACCTTTCAGACTGAATCAAAGACCCTGGAGGCCTATCTATATTCTTTATGAATATACAGAACACTCAAGGTGCTCACAGTAAGCTATATAAAAAAGGTAAATTAAAATACGCATTAACAATAGCATTTAGGCAGTTTACAATGCAAGCATTATTTGCATATTGCCCCCAGAAATCTGTGTCCTTATTTTACCAACCTCAGAATCATGGAAGGTTTGAGCCCATCAGAATCAGATTCCAGGCTGTGGGCAGAGTTTGCCTGCAATACTGCATTTTAACCACTGTGCCATCAGGGCTCTTTTAAACCAAATTGTGGTCCTGTTAAAGAGATGCATCTTGGCCACAGGCTTGATCAAACACAATTTTCAAGCAAATGCATTTCATGTAAATCCAGGATAAGACGAGCTCTCATGTGCCAGATAAATTAATCCATGGCAGCAGGAAAATCTTCAGTAGTCCTCTCTTCCTGATCTTAATGCTGTGATTTGTAAAATGGCCTGTGTGTTTGTATATGTGTGTGTGTCATTTGGCCAGGCAGTCTACAAGCATTGGCAAGCATTCCAAGGAGAATTTTAGCACAAATTTCATACACTTGCTTTGCCTTACAATAATTTGAATGGGTGTGGGTGTGGGTATTGGTGTGTATTATCTTCAATAGTGTCTGAACCCATCAGAATTTTTACTACTCAGGTCACTGAGATTCATACTTCTGCTTTAGAATATAAATTGAAGAACTAGTTTCCTTACTGTACAGCAATAAATATGAAATACCGCATGCCAATACATAATGACTTCCTTAGCAGGAAATGAAAAAGTGTTTGTTTGTTTGTTTTTAATTGGAATCACCTGTGTGTGGAAAATAGCTCCCCTTGGAATTTTCTTAAAATTGCATAAAATCTTAATGTGCTTTAATATAGTTTCACACAAAAAGTTTTACATTTGCATAGTTGTATATTTTCTACATTACAGCTTTTATTGCGCTTGTTGTGTACTACCATATTAACTCTGGAAAAGCAGTATTAAGACAATATTATCTATTGTCCAGGGACCATTATGATTTCAATTTTAGAGAGAACATTTATAAGGCACTGCTATAATGCCTACCCACTTAGCTCAGAGCAGCACACCCCAAACTCAGGAGAAATTAATCTCTGTGTAGATAAGTTTAGGGAAGTAAAAATATGTTTACTTATCTCTATAACCAAGAGTTATTCAATAACAATGTAACATCTATTAAAACAGGAAGCAATGCAGGTAGTCCTTGACTTACGATGTTAATTGGCCCTGAAATTACAGCTGTAAGTCATGCCACTTGTTAAGCAGGTCATCATCTGATCATGCCCAATTTTATAACCTTTTTCATAGTGGTCATTAAGTGAATACCATGGTCATCTAGTAAAAACATTAATTATTATGACAAGACCCTGGGACAACGCCAATGGCCCTACAGAATGGGATCATAAGTTCCTTTTGGGGACCCATAACTTTGAACAATCACTAAGCGAATGGTTGTAAGATGAGGACAACCTGTACCAGCACACTTTAATTCAGATGAAAATATTATGTTAATGAATTAAATCTTCAAGAACAAGCTTTCTGGAGAGAAGCTAACTGTAGTTGTGATTTTTACTTAATGTGCACTTATATCTAAGCATAGAATAGACAAAACAATTTTATGTAACACAATGTAAAGTAATAACAGCAATAAAGCAACATAGTAATCTATATAACATAATATAATAATCTGTATAAGACATTTCCTAACCAGCATAAATGTAATGTATAGCTATATTGAGTAATGATAAAATTCTTCCAGCTTCACAAAATCCTAAGAAAAGAGCCTTTTTAACTTAGGAGATTGGACTCCAGATGCAACTGAATGCAGAGTTAATTCCAGGCAGTAAGAGCTAATTGGGAAAAAGCTGTACAGAGTGACATGGTCATTTGATCAGTAGGACAAACTAATTGATCCTGGTTGCATAACTGAGCTGAACACACAGGAAGATGATTTATAATAAGGTATTTGAATAATAGTTTTCTTGTACACATAGCCCAGAAAGTCAGGATCAGCCATTTAAACTGATCATCCTCGCAAATACCTAGTTATCATAGGGATTGGTAAAAGAAGACTCAAGGGTCAATCAAAAGAGGTCTAGGGTCACCCACACTGTACTTTTTTTGAATCTCAACTAGAGGTTGGAGCATGGAGTCAAGAAGCTGCCAACTTTCTACTACAACAATCCAGGCATGAATTATCTGTTCCGTGTACTAGAAAGCATTGTGGGCACAGTATCTATCCAAGTATCTGGTGAAACCATCTCAACTGAATTTTAATTCAGAGCTTAAAAAAAAAAGATCATAGCATGAGGAGGTTAGGTTCATAATTTCCTTGCTTGCTTCTTAGGCAGATATTCATTTTCAGTAAAGATTATCCAGTTAATAGGAGCATCATTTCAGCTGTGTAAATGTATATCATAAATATACACTCATAACAGTATTTTTACCCCACCCCAATATTTTTACATTAAAGCCTATATAGCTATATATGCAGTCACAATACTTTATTTAAGAATCTGAAATACACTTTATGACCTGTGCTCCCTCTATAAATAAAACATTTGAAACTTTTCAAATAATTGCAATACTATGCATTGTTGTATGGAGTTTTATTGAATTAGCAGCATGATAGATACTGTATTGTATTGATTAATAACTATTAAGAAGGATGGTTGGGTGGTTTTTGTTTGTTTGCTGCCTCCAAGTCAATGTTGATGTCTGGTGATTGCCTTGCAGTTTTCTTGGCAAGGTATTTTGGAAATGGTTTACTCTTGCCTGCTTCCCGGAGCTGAGTAAGAGTTGCTTTGTGTTTAAGGTGAGACTAGAACTCATCTCTCCTAGTTTCTAGTCTAGGGTCTTAACCACTAGCCCAAACTGGCTCTACTTAGGTGGCAATTACTTGTGAAATATATATACTGACCCAGTAGTGCCCTGGAAATAAAAGGATCTCGGTGTATGTTCAAGGTAGCTTTGTGCTGCCTTATTTCTATCTTAATTTTATAGGTTTTTAAAAATAGCCAAACTTTTCATGTGGAACTAACTTTTCCTAATCAAACCAGATTATATTTCTTCAGTTCCTTTAGGGATATGCCATCTTTCTCCCCATGGACACTGGTTACGAATAGATCAGCTTGACATAGTTAATATGGAGTTAGCATAGATGATACTTGACATGGTTAATAAGGAGATAAGCAACAGCTGTTTGCTTCTTAGCAGCATGTTCTCTGCTAAAACAATCTTCTTTTTCACAGCACCAATCTCATTCCCCAGCTCTCCTTCTCATGCCATCTGATATGTTGAAAAACCTACCTGCTTTTCATCATTGTAATGGAAAGACAAATTAGGCAGAAAGATATTAATGGTTGTATACAGGAATCAACCACCTAACATTTTGATATAACTTTCAGACTTGCTGGCTTAATTTTCTGCAACTAGAGAGACAGAATTCTAGATTGTATAACACGTTAGAAAATTCATGATTGGTATTTGAAACATAGAAGCAATAGCATCTCCATTTGTAAAGCAAGGTGACTGACTGAATTGGATCAGCTCCACTTCAATGCTTCAGTGAGGCATCGAAATCATGACAGGTTTAATTGAAGTTCCTCATTGAATTGAAGTGCCTCCCACAACCCTGATGCATATGTATGCATGTACACTTCATTTTATAAAGAGAGAAATCTTTGTGCCTGTTAATTAACACTTCTAATATTATTGCTACATTTCCCAGAGGGACGCCTTTGGTAATCTGATGCAGAAAACGGGTGGGGGGAATCTTCTTGTACATTAATTATAGCAAAATCTTTTCTGGCCAAGAGTCTGCATTACCTGTTGTATGCTCTGTTACCCTGAGCTGGACATAGAGAAGCTTATGGCCTGGGAAGAAGAAAGGTAGCAGTAAATCAGAAGAAACAGATACAAAACAAACTGACAATGATTATTACAATTTTAACATTAACCATTCACAAGAGCTCCCCAATTACATACTCAATACATCTTGGCTTTGGGTAAATAATTAATATATGTGATGTGATTTCCCTTTATCATCAATTAAATCACAGATACCGTAGCAGAACTGAAACTTTTGATGAATTGTATCTCAACACTTTCTCACTGTATCCCTTTGATGTGCTGTTAGTCAGGAACTATCATTTTCAACACAGGTAGTCCTTGATTTACAATCAGAATTGGGCCAGAATTTCTATTATTAAGCAAGGCAGTTATTAAGTGACTTGCACTCCAGGGATTCCAGGAATGTTACTTTATTTTGGGGGGTATATTGACAAACTCTTGAAAGCCTGTCAAAATGTCTTTCTACAGTATTCCATCTTATACGAAACAAAATCAAGACCATTTTTGGTAGTTCCTTTCTCACATTTCTTCAATCTCTGTATACTCTCTTTTCCAAGTTTTTCCTTTGTGGCTCATTCCTTCCTTACCCAAGGTAAGCTTTAAATTCTTAATAGGTGACATTTAATTAATAGGTGACATTAGTGACATTTTGAAAAGGAAAGACCACTCCTAGAATGGTGTTTCAACCACTTTGAGATGTGTGGATTTCAATTCTTAGAATTCCTAGCAGTGGCCGTGTTGGTTGAGGAGTTCCGAGTGGCAAAATACCACACATCTTCAGTTCTCGAGATGTTGGAGAGTAACTGTCCCAATTAGGAGGAGAACTGATAAGGGGAATTAACTTGGACCTACTATGTAAACACAAGAGAACAAGGTCTGACCTGCCTCTCCCCCCCCCCCCCAATGCCTTTGAGCTTTATATAATCTTTTCCAGCCAAGAGCTGCCAGTCTGGGAGATTCCTCAGAGATTATTGACAGTGAACAATAAAATATCTAGTTTGAACTTTATATGTGGGTGTCTGGTTGTTCATGCCTGACACCAGATTGTGAAACATCGGCTTAAAATGAGTTGTAGCTGATGAATGAGGTAATTAAAGATCAGCTCAGGGATAAGGTGTCCCAACTCCAAAGAGTATGAGACTTTCATTGTTTAGAAATGCCCTTTGTGTTAAGATTTTCCCTGCATATAGAAAGCTTAGCATCTCAGCTTAGACTGAAC